GAAAATTTTTATTTTATATTGGAATATAGCTGTTTAACAATATTGTGTTAGTTTCAGGTGTACAGCAAAGTGATTCAGTTATACATACACATGTATCTATTCTTTTTCAAATTCTTTTCCTATTTAGGCTATTACAGAATATTGAGCTGAGTTCCCTGAGATTTTTTGTTCTTTAGGCTGGTGGATAAATGTCCAGGGTAATCACTGCTACCCACCTCAGAGCTGTGGATGGTCAGGAATCTGTGGGCTCCAAGTAGGCTGGAAACAGCAGCTGGGTGAGTGTGTATGTGTGGGATCAGGTCCTGGTTTCTGTGCTATCAGTAGGTCCTTGTTGATTTTCTATTTTAAATATAGTAGTGTGTATATGTCTGTCCCAAAGTCGCAATTTATCCCTCCTCCCCCAGAGGGATACTATTTTGCATCTTCAGAATTTGTATCATGTGCGTGTTTGGTTTATTTATAAAGAGTCACCTGCAGGACGTGCCCAGGTGTCCAGGAGGAATTCCCTTGGCGTTTCTTAGTCTCAGAACCTCTTTTATCCCTGAGTCCAGTGAGAGACCCAGGTCCTCTCAGTGGGGTTCTCTTAGGCGGGATGTCTCACCCAGTGGCTCATCCTTGCTGCCGCCTCTCACCCCACCCCTCGTCCCATCAGGTGACTGGCCTTTTAGAATCACACTTTGACACCAAAAACACGGCCTTATGTGCCTTCCCCTAAAAGACTGATGGTTGGACCCAGGGAAGGAGGGGCAGATCACTATCTATCTCCTCCGACAGAGGGTGTTGAAGTGGAAACATCACAGGCTTCAGAGTTGCACAAGCTTTGGTTCAAATTTCGGCATCTGCTGCTGAAGCTGCAAAACCTCAAGAAACTGCCATGATCTTGCTAGATGGTTTTCTTTATCTGTAAAATGGGCCAACTATTGGGTTGGCCAAAATGTTCGTTCGGGTTTTTCCGTAAGATGTTATGGAAAAATTCGAACAAACTTTTCGTCCAACCCAATACTACTGAGCCCTGGGACTGGAAAGACGAGAGGAGGTCATTGTGTACAATGCCTGGCACACAGCAGGCACTCAGTGAATGGTCACAGCTGTGCACATTGTCGGGAAGTCAGGGCCTCCTGCTGGGGCCCTTTTTCATGAGGCGGGGAAGAAACAGTCTTGGTTGGAAATGAGGGCCTCCTGGGCTTGGTCCCTTTCCCCAGTAGAGGTGAAAGAGGCATGGTGCCTGCCCACCAGGGGTGCACGCTGATTAGATGGTCTGGGAGAGCCTCGAGTTTGCAGCTTCCTCTCTGTAGCTCTGAGGTCTAGAGACGGTATGGTCGGCCCCAAGGTGACTGTTTGCAGGATGGGACTTGCCCTGGTGTTCACAGTGGTGACTCTCTGGCCAGGGGAGAGGCTGACTCAGGAAGCTCTGGAAGGTGCTCCGTGAAGATGGGTGGTCGGGACTGTAGGGGAGCAGCCTCCCCCCAGCGTCAGGGGTTCTTATCTCCTGGCTCCACAGATGACCCTGCAGCATACTGGCCTTTCCTGCCGCGTGGGAATTGTTCTGAAAATGGGGTTCTCCTCCCAGCTGCAGAAACATAGCTCCTCCCAGGATGGGCAGTGGTGGAGAGCACGGCGTTTAGAGTAAGGCAGACCTGGGTTTGAGTTCTTGCCTGGCTGTTGGTTCACTCAGTGGCTGTATTCTTTAACTTTGCTGAGCCTCGGTTTCCTTGTCTGTGAAATGGGGATAATAACATTGCCTACTTTTCACTGTGAGGATTCAAAGAAATGTATAAGGCAGTACAAAAATGTTGTTTTAGTAGAGCTGGTTAAAGTTGAGCTGGCTGATCTAAAATGAGGGCAAAAATCTTAGGGGGGGAGTTACTCTTGGGCTTAGGGGAAAAAGTGCATAATGGACATGTTCGATAATAAAGGGGGAGACCCCCTATCTTATCCCACCCCTACCTATATTGCCTAGAGAGGGCTAATTGTTCTGCAAAAGAAAGAACTAGGATTGGGAGTCTTTAATGGTCAGTGTGAGAGTTGGTGTGGGGTTGTGAGGGAGAAGAGGGCAGATGGGCAGGGGTCCCAGGTGTTGGTAAGAAAGTCAGGCCAGGGAGAGGTTAATTCCTTCTGGCGGGGAATGGCCAGTGGATTTCTAAGGCAGGGATTTTTATGGTTAATATCCAATTTCAAGTTCTCACCTGAATCATTCTGTGCTACATTCAGAACCTATCTTATGCCCAAATTTCCAGTAAACATCTGTTAACACCCAGTAACTCACACCAGGATTGTTTTGGGGGAATGGGGGCCCTGACCCATGGTGGGTGAAGCAGCATGTGAAGAAAGAGAGGATTCAGTAGAAGCTGGGAATTGGAGGAGACGTGCCAGGATCCAGCACCAGCCTTTAGTTCTCCTGGGGGATGTGGGTGGGCTGAGACTCCTGACTGCCCGCAGTCTCTGAGATGCAGGATGGAACGAGTTTGGGGATATTTTGGTGAGGCTCCGGATGACCCCAGAACAGAGGCTGCCAAGTGGGTGGCTTAAAAAGGAGGGAGGATGTGCTGAGACTCAGGTCAATGAGAACATGGTGGGGCAGAGGCAGCAAGTGAGGGACCAGGGGCCCTGGCCACACCCAGTGAGCAGACCATGAGTCCCCCGGCTGCAGCAGTGTGGCAGCTGGGAGGGTTCAGAGCAAGGTGAGAGGAGCCACACCTCAAAGCGGCATTAACGAGAGCCAGCAGGATGAGAGCCATGTCCCTCACCCCCAGCCAGGGCCTCGAGGCTGCTTAAGTGCCCCCTGTATCCTGAGGCCATCTTGGAGAGGGTTTCCCATCTTCTTCCATCATTGGTGGGAATGGATCTTCCAGTGTGAGACCAGTTACTGAAAATAAAGAGAACAACCCTTTTGGGGGTATATCTCAGTGGTGTACATTTTTGACACTGCCACATGATGCATGGTTAAGAATCACCCCTGCTGTCACAGTTGCACACAACCCTTCGGCCACAAAACCACCCTCCCGTGTTGCAGACGCATAGGCTGCTCTCCTTCCTCAGCGCTGCAGATGATCAGACCGCCGGCATTTCTCTCTCCAAAGCCCTGCTGGTACTGCTGAAAGCACGAGGGTTTTTATGTCATGTGGCTGTCCTTTGACATGTAGCTTCAGTCCTCTTTCAGAGGCTTAATTCCCTAAACTCCCCGCTCCTGCCACCCCCCGGGACCAGGCAGGAAACGCTCAGAAAGTAGGATGTGGAACTGTTTTGTTAAAAAATAGAAAGAAAGAAAAGAAATGGAAAACAGCAGCTGAGTCACAGGGAGGTGGGGCTGGACCCAGGCCACCGAGATGTCAGGTGGGCTGGATCGTCTCTTCACTGTTCTGTTGACCTTGTCCTTCCCCCCCCCGCCCCCCGCCCCAACACCTGCTTCTGTTAAATGGGGGATAATTTTAGACAATTCTTTCCTCAAGGCTTTTGGCAAGATGAGATGACGTAAAGAATTGAACAGGGCTTAGCACACGTGTTGTAAGCACCCCCGGCAAAATAGCTGTCATTATCTCGTCTGTTCTCTCCCACCTCCGTACTTTTGGTCTCTCTCTCTCTCTTGCCTCCACTTTCTCCATCAGTGAAAAGGTGAATGGTAGCACCATTAAAAATCTCTACTGTGAGGAAAGGAGAACTTTCCTGTTGGGAGTGAGGGGCTGGCTAGTGGAAATAGGGGTCGTCTTGATCCCATGTTCTGAGCAGCCAAGCCAAAGCAGGGTGGACTTACTCCCTCTCTCACCTCCAGATCCTTGAAAACCAGTTCCACCACTTACTAGCTGTCTGACTCTGGGCAAAGGCTTGAACTTTCCTGAGCCTGTTTCCTTACTGGTAATATGGGGACGATCCTGTACACTGCACACTGCGGCTGGGATAGTTAATCGGCAAACTCTGTGTCACAGGCCCAGCCAGATGCACATGACAAATGCTCAGGATATGTAGCTACTTACGCTAAGATGATGAAGCTCTACTGGTCAGGCCAACAACCTAGGAGTCATCCTTGACTTTTCTTTCTCTCACACCTTTGAGGTTGGCCTCCCCTGGAAGCAGACCACGAGACAAGGATTTGAGTGCCAGTACTTCACTGGGAGGTGATCCCGAGAATTTCCAGTAGGGAAACAGAGAAATGAAGCATAAAAAAGAAGGATGCCCCTGCAGGGTTCTTTACTGAGCAGATTACCATTGTAATGGGGCACCTTGGACTCAGTTCCTCTGGGGACCTCTGGGCGCTCTGAGTGTTCCCCCAGGGGCGAGAAGCTGAGTGATTTGCTCACTACTGCGTGTCTGTCATTGATCGAGGGCTACTTCAGGGTGAATTCCCCAGCATTCCCATCTTGCTGTGGGTGGGCTCTGGGGCAGAGTTGCAGGTGCTTGTGGTAGAGGGACTGCCTGCTGTTGTGTGGCCTGGATTAAAAGGATGAGCCGGACCGAAAAGATTCCTCTGTTGGGGCCTTGGAAATGGAGAAACAGACTGGGCAGTGGAGGCATAAGAACTTCCTCAGCTAGTACCCCTGGACGATGAGCTGGGAGGGTAGATTCTATGACGATGGCCCGTAGAGACCACGGGGGCGGCGGGTCAGGCACTGACTGGTCCCATCTGGGAACCTTGGAGTCAGACAGACATAGATGTGAATTTTGGCTTGGTCACTGACTAGCTGTGTGAGTTGGAGCAAGTTGCTTAGCTCTCTGAATTCTCCACAGTTTTGTCACATGTCCTACAGCTAATCCCCACCCTGAAGGGTAGATATTAGGATTAAGTGACATGTGTAAAGTGCCTGAGATAAAAAGATGGCCACTGAGTGTCATTTTCCTCTTCATTTCCTACTGCCCCGCCTCTTGCTTCTTGAAGCTGGGCTGTGACAGGGTTGCAGGGTCGGAAATGGGTTTGGAAACAGATGCTTCTTAGGAAGTGACGGGGAGAACTCCAGCTAGCAAAGCGGAAGAGGAGGCACTTTCATGATGCAGAATTTCCATTTCAGGCTCCCAGGCAGGATTGGGAGGACGGTCCCCTGCCGTTGTGAGAGGTAAACACAAGACTAAGCAAGGCCAGGGCTGCTTAGGGCAGAGGGGGATTTCTGGAGCTTGGCTGGAGAGGAATGGGCCCTCCCCCTCCCCCCTCTCCCCCCGGGGCCGGGGGGAAGGTGGGGCGGTGGTGCTGACAGGGACTCTGTTCTGTAGGAAGGCAGGTGGTAAGGCACCCTGCCAGTCCTGCGGCCAGGAGCCACAGGCTGCTCTTTGAGCCCAGCGGGGAGGCAGCCAGAGGTCCCACTGTGGTTCAGCCTCAGGATGAAGGGTCAAGGGAGTCTGTGGTCACACCAAAGTGGCAGGGAGGCCACAGTGGGAACACCCTCAGCGGACTCCTTCCTTGTGGGTCTCCATGCCAGAGACACAGGGTAACAAAAGTTAATGAAAATTATGCAAGTAAAACACAAACATAGAAGAGATTCAGATAATCAAAACAGATTCAAATAATGCAGAAGTACCTAGAGTTGTAGCTGGACTCTAAGTCCACGGACTCGGGTTTATAGGAAAGAAAACTTTACCACTATAACCTAGTCTGATGTGTATTTTTAGCCTGCCTTTTTGCTGGCCTGGTGGGACACTTTAACCTCAGCCTTTCTGGGGTGTTCCAGGCATTGGGGGGCCCATATGATGATCTGTCCCCACCAGTTACTGCTGAGTCATCCTCCCTGGGGTTAGTGGGGGTCTGGTGGTGTTCCGATAGTTTGGGGTCACACTTGAGGACACGGAGACCTGCCCCAGAGCTGCTGTGACCCATCTGCCTGGATGTTCTCCACAGCCCTTCTTCTTTGGGTCTCCCTGTGTCGACTTCAAGATAAACACACAGTATTAAGTGTTGTGAGTTTGGGCTTCCCTGGTGGTGCAGTGGTTAAGAATCCGCCTGCCAATGCAGGGGACACGGGTTCGAGCCCTGGTCCGGGAAGATCCCACATGCCACGGAGCAACTAAGCCCGTGCGCCACAACTACTGAGCCTGTGCTCTAGTGCCCGCGAGCCACAACTACTGAGCCCGTGTGCCACAACTACTGAAGACTGCATGCCTACAGCTCATGCTCTACAACAAGAGAAGCCACCACAATGAGAAGCCCAAGGACGGCAATGAAGAGCAGCCCCCGCTCGCTGCAACTAGAGAAAGCCCGCACACAGCAACGAAGACCCAATGCAGCCAAAAATAAAAATAAATAAATCTTAAAAAAAAAAAATTAAAAAGATAATAAAATAAAATAACTTAAAAAAAAGACCCAATGCAGCCAAAAATACATAAAATAAATTTTAAAAAAGAGTTGTGAGTTCAAGTTTCATTCCGGGACTTACTGAGGGCTATAGCCTGGGAGACAACCTCTCAGCCGCTCTGAGAAAACTGCTCTGAAGAGGTGGGGGAGAAACCGGTACATGTATGATTTCTGGCTAGAGAATACATGCGGTCAAGGAGACATCTTTGTAAAAGATTACTGCTAGTCACAAAGAAAAGGTATCTCAAGTTAATGATTCTAGTGCTTTTCTGTGTATGGGAAGATGTGAGAATCTGGGTTCATTAAAATTCTTCCTGAGATAAATATCTAGCTAACAAAGGGGCCTGCTTGTCCGAAGCACAGAGTACGTCATCCTGTTGTCTTAATTTCCTCTCAGGGTGTGCTGTCAGCCAGCGACTGCTGTGGGCTATGACCTAATCCTTGTAGAACTGGGTGGTGAGCAGTGCTCTTTGTTTATCTTTGTTTACACCTGCTTCCTGGCAGTGACGCTGGAATGCCCAGGCTGCACCTGCCTCCCTCCAGCCCAAACCAAGACTTTCTTTTTTTTCGGCCACTCTGCGTGTCTTGTGGCATCTTAGTTCCCTGACCAGGGATTGAACCCGGGTCGCTGGCAGTGAAAGCCTGGAATCCTAACCACTGGACCGGCAGGGAAGTCCCTTGTATTTTTTTTTTTTTTAAAGAGCGTTTCATTATCTTTTTCTTTAACTTGAAATATCGTTGATTTACAACGTTGTGTTAATTTCTGCTGTACAGCAAGGTGACTCAGTTATACACATATACACATTCTTTTTAATATTCTTTTCCATTATGGTTTATCCCAGGAGATTGGATATAGTTCCCTGTGCTATACAGTCGGACCTTGTTGTTTATCCATTCTATTATTTTTGACTGCTCCGCGCGGCATGTGGGATCTTAGTTCCCCGACCAGGGACCAAACCTGCGTGCCCCTGCAGTTGGAAGCGTGGAGTCCTAACCACTGCACAACCAGGGAAATCCCTGTTTATCCATTCTAAATGTAATAGTTTGCATCTACTAACCCCAAACTCCCAGCAGGACTCTCTTTTCATCCTGGAAGAAATCCATACTCTTTAATAATTCTGGTGAAGACATTAAGGAAATATGCTTTGAATCTTGTTATTTATTATTATTATTTTTTGCGGTACGCGGGCCTCTCACTGTTGTGGCCTCTCCCGTTGCGGAGCACAGGCTCCGGACGCGCAGGCTCAGCGGCCATGGCTCACGGGCCCAGCCGCTCTGCGGCATGTGGGATCTTCCCGGACCGGGGCACGAACCCGTGTCCCCTAGCATCGGCAGGCGGACTCTCAACCACTGCGCCACCAGGGAAGCCCTGAATCTTGTTTTCTTCTTTGTGCAGGGGGCTTAAGCTTTTAGAACACACAAGCCAAAGAGACCTTCAGTTTTGCTCTCTGCCCTGCCTTCTCTCTCCCCTGAGAGGGATGCAGGAGCTGCATGGTGCAGACTATCTGCTCGAATGAGGGGAGGGAAGAGGGGTAACAATAGGAAAATACCCCCACATATCCTATCAGGGTAAATAAAACGTGGAAGCCTCCCTTCCCCACTGTTAACTCCTATGAGCGGTGTGGCCTGCATTCGCATATGTGTAGATTTGGTAACCTGGGTTAGTCCCTAAGAGGGTCATGCCCCTCTATAGCCAGGGGCATTTCTCCATCCCCTTTCCCATTTAAAAATGCCATATAAAGTACAGTGTAGAATATACTACAGGGAGTAGTAGAATATGGCCGGACAGTCACGTGTGGTTACATCAGTGCCCTCTGCACAATCCCAGCTGTTTTTATCTTGATAGATGTGCAGCTCCCAAGGGAGCAGAGTACAAAACTGCTGTCTCTGGTTTACCACTCCCCCAACTCCTTATTAAAAAGATTATTGAGGTGTAACTTGCATAGAGCAAAGTGCATAAATCTTACAGCTTGATGAATTTTGGCACGTGGATATATCAATACTTGTGTAGCCATCACCCAGCCTCATTTTCAGCATCCCAGAAGTTTCTCTCATGTTCTCTCTCTCTCTCTCTTTTTTTCTTTTTTGGCCATGCCACAGGGCTTGTGGGATCTTAGTTCCCTGAACTGGGCCCCAGGCAGTAGAAGTGCAGAGTCCTAACCACTGGACCACCAGGGAATTCCCTCCCTCACGTTCTCTTGTAGGGAAGATCCATCCCACAAAGGTAACCACTATTTGATGTCTATGACTGTTTTGACTGTCCTTGAATTTCATGTAAATGGACACATAGTATTTACTCTTATGGGTCTGACTCTTTTACTCCAAATCACATCTGTGAAATCCATTCATATTGCATTTGTCAGTGGTTTGCTGTGTAGTATCCCATTGTATGGATGCACCACAGTTACTAGGGCTGGACACAAGGTTCTCGGAATTCAGGTTTCCCTCCAACCTCTGGTCTGAAGGGGGGATTTCATGACACACTGCTCTCTGGTTGTTTGTCTTGAGCTCTCACTCTCTACTCCTCTGCCTCTCCTCTTGGGGTGGAAGGGGCAGGGTTTCCAGGTTCTCCACCTGTCTCTACATCATGCCTTCCTCCTTCTGAGGAGGCTGGCCCTGCCTTCTTTCTTGGGCAGGGAGAGAAACTGGTTTACCAAGGAGGAGATCCAGCAAGGTGATACCTGCTGCTGAGCTGGTGTGGGACTCCTGATTGGGGAGGGAGACTGGGGAGGGAGAAAACAGGCCAAAGGAACGGAAGGAAATCTTGGCAGTGGAGTGGGGGGGGTCCTGGACTTCCACAAGGCTGTGGCATTGGGGTTGCACCGAGTTTAATCAGCTCTCCCAGCGACTGGGGACCTCGAGCTGGAGTCTTTTTGCGTACAAGGATGCCCAAGGACAGGGGTCACCTTGGTTCCTAGCCTGTCAAAGCAGGGCAAGGAGGACTGACTCAGAAAGGACTTGGAAAAGGCTGGCAGAACTGAGCTGGGGAAGCGGGCTATGGCTGCTGGATGGGAGAACAGGTCTTCACTTGGAGATCCCTGTCCCCAGGAGGCCCTAGCCAAAGGCTAGGATGGCCTTCTGGGGGCATTGGAGAGCTTCTGAGCAGACGACCATTTCTGGACCCCAGTGAGCTGGTTACATTTTAATTTATTACGATGTGTCAAAGCTCCAGCAGCTCCCGAGGGGAGCTGGCTGAGTGTCAACACTGGTTGTATCCACTGCGCATGCTGGTCTCCTTCTCACCCCTGTGCTCCAGCCACACTGTCCCCTGGGCCAAGCTGGCTCCTGCCTAGGGCTGTTGCACTGGTTATGCCTTCTGCCTGGAAAGTTTTCTTCCCATCAGTCCTCACATGGCTGATTTACTCTGGTCATTTAGCTCTCAAGGAGCATGTCACCCCCAAAGTAAGGCCTTTCCTCACCACCCCACCTAAAGTAGCCATCCAGTCATGTCCCTGGATCTTGAGAGCTGCTTGGGGGTCTTTCCACTTCTCCAGTTCTTACAGTCTAGGGGAATCCAAAGCTTTCACAAGACTTCCGTGAATCCCCAATGACTTACTTCACATTTTCCAATCTCTGGTCTAGAGGTGCTGGCCCTGTCTCACACCTCTGGCTTTCAAAGGCAAAACAGTCACTTTTCTTGGTTCACGCAGAGCAATTTCACCCCTTCCCCTGAAATATTGGTCCCAGTCTATGTCCTGGGAGAGGTTCCTGCCTTCACTGGGATTACAGACACATTTTCTAAACAATGGTTGTTTCCTCCACGAGAGGGATTCTTGTTCTATCTGCTAAAAGACTTAACAGCATTTTACTGTCAGGGTAAGAGGCAGAGTTGGGATCTGAACCTGGATTTGTCTGCTGAGTGTGGAGCCAGTGCTTTTAAACCGTTGCATCAACTGTGTCCCCCATATCCTCATTGAGGCTGCTGGTGACTTTCAGTGGTTACTCACATACAGGTGCAGGCACACGTGTATTTTCTACAGGGGAAATGCTTGCTCGTCTGGCCCGTCTCAGGAGGCTGCTCCGAAGGCCGAATAGCATTTCTTACAGGCCAGCCAGGGCTAGCCGCGGGACATCTGGTTGTCCCATGCAAATCCTCACTTGCACTAGATGGATGCACGAGAGGGGGCGTGCGGCCAGACCTCTCGGTGCCAGGTAAGATGCTCTTTGTACTGCCCAGAGCTGCTTCCTCACTTTCTTCCCTTCCTGTCCCACGCACTGGTTCCTCATGTTGCTGTGTGTGGCCTTCACCCCTTACTACCCCTTTCTCTGACAAAGGAGTGGAAACCCCACTATTCCAGGCCTTATTGTTCACCCCCTTCCAGTCGATCACCTTCATCCACAAGGCTGACAGTCATGTAAGCTGTCTGAGCATAGGTTAATGTGGGTGAGGTCTTCCATGTAGGATCATCAGGGCTGGGAGACCCCTGTGTGTCAGAATGAGGAGGTCCTTCCTGTGTGTGTGTCTGTGTTCATGCACGTGAATGTTTAAAGCCAGGCATTTATCTACCTTGAAAAGCCTAGGAATAGCCCTTTTCTTTCCCTGGTGGTCCGGTGGTTGAGACTCTGTGCTTCCACTGCAGGGGGCACAGGTTCGATCCCTGGTGGGAACTAAGATCCCACATGCAGAGCGGAGCGGCCAAAAAATAAAAACAAACAAAAAAAACCCAACAAAAGACAATTGAATGCACCCGAGATAAGTACTTCTGGTCCTGAACTATTAGGAGTTTCTGGCAAGCTTTATATTATGTGCTAGGGTAAGAATTTGACTTTGTAGATAGATTTTCAATTAGGTGTTTGGACTGACATCTCAACCCTGAACTCCTCTGATAGACCAAAAAAAAAAAAAAGAAAAAAAGAAAAAAGACAAATAATGACATTTCCGTTCCAGCTTTTGCCAGAATCCTGATCCTGGCCTTTGCTTCTTGTTTGCAGCCTCAGTTTGTCCCTAAGGCCTTTGAACTCGGGTTCCCTGATTTGACCCTCGCGCTGGCTAAGGACTCTGAAACCTCCTGCTTGGGTGTACACACTGAACTTAGTCTGGCTCCTGTGTCAGTCCAAGCCCTGCCACCCCTCTATGTTCACTCTGGCCCCTGCGAGCAAAGGTCCAGCCTGGCTATGTTGTATTTGTTGGTGATTCTGTCATCCCTGGGATGTGAGCTCCTGGAGGAGGATGTTTGGTCACAGTCAGCTGTAAGCTCTCAGCTTTGATCGCAGGGAGGGTGGAGAGAAATCCCTGGATACAGGAGCAGCTCACAGCCTGGGGGGGATTAGAGCAGGTAGCAGTGACCCCTGTGGGGGAACAAGGGGAAGGCCAGAGCCTTGGTCCCTTACCTGCCCCGAGCCCCTGCCCGGCCAGCGTGGTGATTGACAGGTAACTGCACAAGTTAAAGTGATTTTGGCACAAGTAACAGAACCCAAGACCTGCTAACTCTGGCTCATGTAAAGAAAAGCGGGTACTCAGATACCTGTGGACAGATTAATGAACGAACAAAACAGGGTAGATACATACAATGAAATATTATTCAGGCCTAGAAAGGAATGAAATCCTGACAACATGGATACGTTTGGAAAACATTACGCTAAGTGAAATGAGCCAGTCACAAAACGTCAAATACCGTATGATTCCACTTAATGAGGTACCTAGAGGAGTCAAGTTCATAGAGACGGAAAGTAGAATAGTGGTTCCTGAGGGCTGTGGGGAGGGAGGAGTGGGAAGTTGTTGTTTACCGGTACAGAGTTTCAGCTTGGGGTGATGAAAACGTTCTGGAGATGGATAGTGGTGATGGTTGCACAGCACTGTGAATGTACTTAATGCCACTGAACTGTACACTTAAACATGGTAAAAATGTTGGGAATGTTTTAACACACGCAAACCAGAACTGACCTAAACCAACGAAAAGTTATTCTGGAGGTGCTAAATGCCACCATGGTCCTTTAGGAATTAAAACAAAACAGGAATAGTGGGAAGAATGCTGGGGCATCTCATGGAATTGAGATTAACCAAACCTCCAAGCCTGGAGTGGGGACAGGAAGTAGGGCAGCTCCAGGGGCTTCAGTGGATGAGTTCATAGGGACAATGAACTTCCTTCGGGACGATGCTCGAACAGCAACCAGTACTTGTTTCTCTGGTCCAAATTTCGTCTTTCTAAGAGAGAGTCTTATTGGCCATCTGGAGTCAGGTGGCCATCTGGATCGATTAGCTTCAGTTGTGGTGGGGAGGCAGGGAGGCAGGATGATGCAGTACCACTGGGGGCTACTGGGGGCAGGCATGGGTCAGTTTATCAGAATCCAAGTCTTTGGATGGCCAGTCTTCAGAATGATCACTTCAGCAAATTTATTTGTTTCTCTACTTAAATAGCTTTAGTTGCCTGATTTTGCTTTGCCTGCATAACACCATTTTGCGGGAATGTTGGATTTTGTCTGAGTCCACTCCCTGTTGTTGAGCTGGGGACAGAGGGGTAGGGAGAAGGGGAGATGGAGTATATATGTCTGGGCGTGGTACCATGTAAACTTTCCAGTCCCCCAAATTGACAAATTTCTCAGGGGAATGTGGAGAAGCCCCTGCAAAAACTTTGATTAAGTTTCTGCCACCCTAGCAGAAAGCAGGCAGGAAATTAGAAATCAAGTTGGCAATAAAGCAAATTTTATTTATTGAATGGTTGCATTTTAGATCAAGATTTTTATCTCCAACCTGGTCTAATGCCCTTCCCTTGCCATGCAAAGCTTAGAGCGGGAGCTAGGGATTCACACCTCCTTTTCTGTTTTGGCACTGTCTGTACACACGTCACCCTGGGGAAGACCCGATATCAGGGGATCAAGCAAAACCTCTGCAACAGGGACAAAAATCACTAGTATTTGAATATTCCCACCCTGGCCTGCTAAGAAAAATGTTATTTTTTAAAAGAAAAGATAATAGAAGAAAAAAGAGACCTAGAAAAGGGATAAGGGTGGACAGGAAAAGTCTTGAGTCCTCTGGGTCTCAGTGAGTGAGAAGCCAGAGGTGGTCTGATCATTTAGAACGGCTGGAGTGATGTGAGGACCTGAAAGCAGAGCAAGGAGGAGGATGTGAAAGATGCTTTTCTGTGCATTAAGAATGTATCCCTGCTCTCCTCCCTTAACTTTGGCATGTCCTCCAGAGATTGAGAATATATTTGAAACACTTTACTTTGTGGGATCACTGGCCTGCTTCTCTGAATGTAACTCTGTCATTCAGACCACAAGGCTGCCTGCGTTTTCACAAGGTTGCACCACTTTTCCCCCAAACTTGGGCTCCCACTGAGGCCTGACCACCATGGGCAGTTGAGGATCTGGGGTTGACCTTTCTCAGATCGAATAATGTTAACCTAGACCAACTTCCTGGAAGGATGCAAAGGTAGTCTGGGATCCTTGATGTATTCTTGGACCCATTCGTTATTGGGGTTGGTACAGATCTCTCGTTTCCTTCTGGTGATGAAGCTGTGGAGGCAGAGTTAGACTGTCATGGGTCATAGAGTATGTTGGGGGTCCAGTCGACACTTCCCCATTTCTAGCTCACAGCGGGCTTGCCTCATGCCCTGTACCACCTCCCTAGGCCTCCCCCACCTGGGTCCCCTCAGAAGGCCTCCCTCTCTGGCCTCTAGACCTCATCGTCTCTTCATTCAGCCCCTTCCCCACTCAGCCTAGACCCTCAGGCTTGGGTTTCATTATGGCCACCATTTCTTGGGCCACACAACTATAAGTGGCAAAAATCAAGAACGAAACCCAGGCCTGTCCTGTGAGAGTCAAAGCCCAGGCCCTTAACCACTGTTCCCCTGTTCTAGCATGGAGACTTGGTTCTGTGCACCCCATTCCAGCCTTGGGCTCCCCTTCCCTCTCCATAGAAATGTCTGCAGAGCGGTGCTTACATGATTGCTGGCAGGTAGCAGTTGAGGGCCTTTCTGTATCTCACCACCACTTTTCTTGGCAATACTTTCTCATGATACTTCAGGCAGCAGGTGGGTGGAGGGTTCACCGACTCAGGAATTTCTGAGGGAATGACGTTGAATGCTGAGCCAAGGAGGTAGAGAGGGAGCCCATGGCTGCCCACTTCCATGTCCCATCTCTTGCATTCCGCTTTTCTGATGGCAAAGCCATTTATCAGCAGGGACTGATGGTAGCCTGATGGATAATGGAGAAAGTGAAAAAGCTGAACCTTCTGTAGAACCTTCAGCCTCTGGACTGAGTGTCACCAAGTACAGAGGACTGGGGTAATCACATTTGCTGATGAACTTGACTTGGCAAACACATGTTGAGCTCCTATTACATGCCAGGCTCTATGGGGTTCAGAACATGAGGAAGACACAGTCACTGCTCTTGTGTACCTGACAGACCAGTCTGGGTAAAAAGGGAAAGTGAAAAGATAAACGCTACAATAGAACGTGGTCTGGGATAGAGTAGAATTTGACACAAGATGCTATGGGAACAGAATGAGGGGTACCTAACCCAGCCTGGGTGGCTGAGGAAGAAGTCCTACAGCAGGTGGTGCCTGAGTTGATTCCTGAAGGATGAGTAGGATTTAGGCAGACAGAGGGGTTGTGGGATCTGGAAAAAAGAAATGTATGGAGGCCTGAGGTGGGGGAAGCCCAGTGTGTCTGGGGGGACGGAACAGTTCCAGGAGGCTGCAATGCAAGGTGGGAAGGAAGATGTAGGAAGGGAGGATATTGACGAGGGAGGGGAGGGCCACACCTCTTCTGAGCTGTGATAGGGAGCCTGGATTCTGTGCTAGAGGCACCAGAGAGGCTGAGGTCAGGGAGGAGGCTGAGATGGGGAGATGAGCAGAAGTCAGGGCAGGAGGAAAAGGCTCATATTTAGGCTTCAGAGTCAGACAGCTTGGGTTGGAGTCTCGACTTAGTGACTTGAATCATGGACAAATTTCTTAATCTCTGGGTGTCTTTTCCCGTTAAACGAGGGTAAAAAATTACGTCCTAGGATCGTGGTGAGGATTAGTTGAAAGAATGCTTGTAAAGCCCTTAACTCAGAGTCTGGCACAGAAAGACTCAGCGCTTGCTGTAATGAAGAGCTAATGGTTGTAATGGCCACTCTTCTGGCCTGTAAATGGCTCTTTCCCCTTCTCTTTGACGCTCGCAGGATACGAGACTCGGCTGGGTTATCACTGTGTCTCCCTTGGGCTCCCCTGACTGCTCATCAGTTGGGGATATCACCTCACCCGGCCCCCAAACCTGCAGAGTGCAAATCCCTGACCCTCGCTTCCAGCTGGTGGCAAAGCCTGAGACTTCTCGAGAGAATCATTTGCCTGACCCGTGCTTTGGGTGGGCCATTTTCTCTTCCTGCTTGACCTTCCCGAAGGGCACTGTTGCCCCGTCCCACCCACCAGAGGCACCTCTACCCACAGTGACCCTGGTTCTCAAGACAACGTTTACAAAGACCAGGGGCACCCTGAGAGCGTGTGGGCAGATTACATGGTGTGTGTGACCCTCGCTCCCCTGAGTGTTTACACAGGCAGAATCTGGCCAGACTATATGCCAAGGGCAGCCTTAGGGACAAAGGAAGGGCTGGGGCAGTTGGAGGCGGGTATGTAGAAGGCCTGAGTGCCTTGGTCCCGTCCCTATCACCAGCCCTCATAAATGATGGTAGAGGCAGGGTTAGGGAGTGGGCAAAACAAGCCCCATTCTCCATATGTCCCAAGCATCCCATAGTTCCAAAACCTCTCAACTTCCTTCAACCCCTTTTCTCTTTCCTCCAGACTTTATTTAGTCCTAGGCTGGGGGATGGAGATAGGGGCCCAGAAACCCACAAATGGTACACGTGGGCATCCCACCAGGACTTCTTTTGGCTGCCGTGGTAGTCCCAGCAAACTACAACAGACACTGCGAGCAAGGGGTGTCTAGGTTCAGACTCCCCATTCCTGGGCTTAGCCTCAAACATCACTCATCCCTGACTCCCTTCATCCTGCCCTCCCAGAGGATCTATGGCTTTTTTCATCCACTTGCCTTGCCTCCCTCCTCATTGCGTACATTTATTATTATCTCTTCTGCTTCTTCCTTGGCTTTTCCTCCTAAATGATCATTCCTGCTGTCTGTCTTTGGGATTCCTGATGTAACCTTGACCCAGCTTCCTGAAACTGCCCAACCCCAGAAGGATCTGGACCACAGCTCAGCTCTACTTACAAAGCGAAGAGTTTGAAGGCAGCAGCTCTGTGTGCAGGAGGGGAGAGGCCCCAGGGCTGGTGACAGAGACCTGACAGCACTCTTAGCATCACCTCGCTGCCCCGTTCCCTTTCCTCACTGCCGCCCTTCAGGGACAGGTGGACTCACTTGGCTGGCTGTGAATGGCAGAAATAATGGTGAGCTGAGGAGAGAGAGGGCAGCCGCGGAGACCTTCATCCTCTCAGTGGGGCAGTTGGGCTTCGGAGGCTGAACGGAGACAGTCTCCTTCCTGGTCATTCACGCTGGGCCCTCAGCTCTCTGGACTCTGACCACTTTAGCAGGCGGAGGAGGAGAGACAACGGCCCCTCCCTCGGTGTTTGCTGAAGGGGAGGGCGGTGGAGGGCGGGGTCTGGAGCAGAGCTGAATTCGGTAAGGTTTGAATCCGTGTGAAGGAAAAAAGAGAGAAAGGGAAAGTGTGGAGAACGTGCCGTGTGTCAGCACCTGGCATGCCCCACTTCACTTAATCCTCCCAGCGGGGAGTAGAGATTTTCACTCTCATTTTGCACATGAGGCCACTGAGGCTTAGAGAGGTTAAATAAATTGTCCAAGGTCACATGGGTAGGAGACAGATAGGCAGTCCTGAAAACCAGATCCATGCGGTTTCACCATGTTCCCTGCCCCCATCTCTATGTTGGGGAAGGAGGAGGGAGGAGGGTTGAATTGACTATTTCCCCAGGTGATCAGTCTTTGGGAGGGCAAACAGAAAGCCGGATTAGAGAGAACACAGACCGAGGCAAGGGTAGGGTTAGTGCCCTCGGAAAAGGATGTGTGTCCACCCCCGCCAAGGACACATGATTGAGCTCACACTCTTTCTTGTCACAGATTATGCTACAAATACCACCCCCCAGCCCCCAAAGTGCCTGATCCTTGGGTCCCTGTTTGTTGCTGAAATGTTTGGCTTATTTATCAGTGTTCTCATTTATCTCTTTGGACCTTGGACTCGGAACCAGTTTTACGTCTAATTAGCTGATCCCTTCTGGGTGCCCTCAGTGTGGGTTAATCCAATCTGCCACCATGGCCAATCATGGGCAGCAGAGGGCACCCCAACATCATGAACCTGACAACCTGCTTCTGGGTCCGGAGTTCCAGCTGCGGCCCACCCCCACCTTTGGCTAAGCCTGGACCTGCCCCTCAGCATCTTAGCTCTTCAGACTGCCTCAGAGCCCTGTTCCAGGCTGAAGGCAGCGTGCAGAGAAGAAATGAAAGATACAGGGTATTTTGCCTTTGATGCACTGTGAGTTTTAGAGATGTGAGGGAGTGTTTCAGGAGATGGGAGTAGAGGGAGGCAGGGGAAAAACAAGGACTATGAAGATACCTGTGGGGCTTGCTGTTTGGCATGACTGCTTATAAACAGGAAAAAAACATACAATACAGTTAGTCCTGGTGTGTTCAAGACAGTCAGTGCTGGTGAAGCTGTGGCTTTTTATGAAGCTAGGGAGGGTACGTGTGTGAGATACCCCATTGACCTCTGTTTATGGAGGAGAGAAGGTCTGAGGAAGTCTGCTGTACCTTCAGTGTGCAGGCACCCTCTTGGCCCTTGTCTGTGGAGGGCTGGAGGCCAGGAAGGGTGGTCATAGTGCCTACACTGGATGTGCTCTTCCTCTTTGTATGCAGAGCTCCTTCTTGAACCTGGAAGATGGGGGCATCCCCCCCTTTGGGGGCAGCTGAGTGTTATTCCTGGAGCATAAGCTTCCTTTTGACTCCTGAATCATTCCATCTATCCATGCATCCATCCATCTACCCATCCATCCACCCATCCATCCACCATCCATTCATCCATCCATCTACCCATCTATCCACCCACCCATCCATCCATCCATCTATCCACCCACCCATCCATCCATCTACCCATCTGACTATCCATCCACCATCCATCCATCTATCCATTTCCTGAGCACCTGGTGTGGGTCAGGCTTTTTGCTATGCCTTGTGCAGGACACAAAACTGAGTAAAACAATAGAGTGCAACCTGATGTATGTAAGTGGATGGGCAAGAATTGGATAAAATATGTCCATGAGTCATTCCTATCCCAGTCAGCAGGGAACAGAGGCCTTGAGACCAGCCCAGAAAAAGACTATGGAGTTTGCTATAGAGAGGCCTTTATGAAGGTTTACCTGCAAAATCAGGTGATAATTCTTAGCTTTACACTTGTGAAGCTTAAATAAGATAATGCACACAAACTGCTTAGAATATAGACGGCGCTACAGAAATGGAATCTGTTATGATTGCGGTTATTATTGTGTAAAGGTAGCTTTTACACTGTCTTCCTCATTTTCTGCTCAGTTTTCCTCTACCTCCATCGCAGACCTGACCCATTTTTTGGCACCAGGCTCTGGCCAAACTTTTGCAGAGTGATGCTTGAGGCTGAGAGTGCCACCCTGAGCTGGGCTCACCAGTGTCCTCAAGTCTACTGCCAATGGGCAATTTAGTAGAAATGGACGAGTGCAGTGAAGGGCATGATGGTCTTTAATTCAAGGCAGGGCATCTCCCAGGAGGTGTCTGGGGCTAAATTGGGAGTGGAGTTCAGCCCCATCTCTTTAAATTCTGAGCTGTGTCCTTCTCCGCTACTTCTGGGTCACTCAGATCTCCTCAGCTCCTTTGATATAGTCCTGGACCCAGTCATCGCTGGGGTTGGCACAGAATTGACGGCCATTTTTGGTGATGAAGCTGTGGAACAAGAGGGGAGAAGGATGAGAAACCAAGGGTCCAGCAGCCAGGAAGCAAGAGCCCATCCTCCCTTCCTCACAAATTCCTCATCCAACCCAGACTGGTTCTCCTTCCTTAGTGAGAGGTAGCCCAGGGCCAGCGTCCTTTCTGAGGCATGCCCTTCAGCCCCTCAGGGCCCCTGGACCCATCTAATCTCGGTGTCCCCACCCAGGAAGTGCCCCTTGCCTCCCCTTCCCCTCCCCCACACCTCCCCATCCATGGCACCAGCTTCCTCCTGGCCCCAGCAGGCCCCAGACAGCCCAGAAGCCCCCAGGTTGCCTCCCCGCTGCCTCTCCCTGCGTGGACATTCCTGAGAAGCACCCTGGGGAGCACCCATTCTGTGTTCTCCCTGCCCCCCTCTCCCCTACCCGGGCCCTGCTGGCTCCCCCTCCCCCAGTGTGGTGTATGGGTGCCACCTACACAATTCCAGGCTTGGAGCACTGGCTGCTGGTCTCATAATAGCCTGAAATCCACTGCTTCCTGATTGGCCGGGTCACGTAGCTGTAGCAGCACTCGCTGGGGTGGTAAGGTCCTCCTGAGGAGAAAGCATGGAGGGAAGCTGAGATCAGGGCACTTGTTTGTTTGGTTTAAATAAACTTATTTATTTTATTTGTTTATTTTTTGCTGCGTTGGGTCTTCGCAACGCGAAGAAAGAGAGACTAGAGAAAGCTGCATGCGGGCTTTCTCTAGTTGCGGCGAGGGGGGGCTACTCTTGGTTGCGGTGCGCGGGCTTCTCATTGTGGTGGCTTCTCTTGTTGCGGAGCACAGGCTCTAGGTGCGCGGGCTTCAGTAGTTGTGGCTCACGGGCTCTAGAGCACAGGCTCAGTAGTTGTGGCGCACGGGCTTTTTTTCTCCACGTCATGTGGGATCCTCCCGGGCCAGGGCTCGAATCCGTGTCCCCTGCATTGGCAGATGGATTCTTAACCACTTCGCCACCAGGGAAGTCCCAGATCGGGACATTTGTTAAAGGTGACAGCTGCTGGCTGCCTCTGCCCCCGAGCAGGTGGAAGAGGGAAGGAAGGAGGGGACAGCCCCCAGAATTCCAAGAGAGGGCTGTAGAAAAAACTCAGTCCTCTGGTCTCCCTTTCAGACTCTTCCCGGGGCTCCCCTTTCCCTCTTCCGTCATTAGTGATCACTCTGCTTTCCATTCTCCACCCCCACATCCCCACCCCAGAAGGACTGGCTGATGACTTTGAACTCCAGATGGAAGAGCAGCAAAGCCCAGATCTCAGCGAGCACACGCCATCCCTGGGGGCAGCTGGCAGAGATGCTCCAAAAAAGAGGGATGTGGGAAGAAATCCCAATAGGGATTGGGATACATGCCATTTGGGAATGCAGACCCTGCCCCTCTCAGTGTCCCCATTCTGCCCGTTCCCCGCAAAGAGGGCAGGATGCCCATACCAAGCCCCGAGGACAATGGCCCGGGGGCCAGGACACCCAGATCTGCAGGACACCCCACCTTGCCTCTGCTGGCTTTGCGCCCATCACCCCTCATTCCCTCCTCAGTCTCCCCATCTGTGAAGAGGCGGTTAACTGGATTGGTGGTCTTTACATGAAGTTTCCTGGAGGCACTGATGCACTTGGGAGTTCAGTCTTGGGTATAAGACCCCATCAGCCTTTTTGTCTGTTTTACATTTTGGGCCTCCTGTGTAAGATTTTGCTTGAAGAGAAGGTTTCCTGATCTAAAACACTTTCTAAAAAAATCACTATTTTTCAGTTATTTTTTGATTCTGAAATTTCATGGCTCTTACAGGAGGTGCAAGGGGGTGACAGCAAAGTCACACCAAGATTGAATTATGGGGGTAGCAGGAAGGGCATTTCAGATCAAGGACCCTGCAGTTAGCGGGTGCAGTGATTGGGGCTGTGCATGTTATGTGACCAACCTGGACAGAAATGTGGGTGTGCACAGCGATGACCTCGGGGTCACCAACAGTGACCGGGTACTTGGGTGGAAAGGGAAGGGCTGGTCCTCTTATCCAGCACCATTGCCAGCAGCATCCTCACTCCCCAAAGAGTGAGATAAGGGACCCGCTTGTCCCCGGGAACCACTGCCACTGCATTCCTCTGAGCCGTCTGAGTGAATTCTCAGAGAGGCAAATCAAGCTGTCCAGATTCCGTCAACTTTAGTCTAGTTTTATTTCAACAACCTTCTATGTTTCCCTTCAGTTTCTGAAAAGGAAATAAAGTAAAATTGCAGAGTGAGGAGTAGTTTTGGCTGCTGTAAAGGCAGCTCATCTTAAGAAATAAGCTGAAAAAAGGTGGCCTGGGGACGCCCCCAACTGTCGCGTTTCCCCCTACCACATAACTAAACGATACTGCACTCGTGGGGTAGGGCAGACCCTGGAAGCAGCCTGGGTCCAAATCCCAGGAGGTAAATGGACATAGTGGCCTCGAGAGGCTCCAAATACTGTTCCTCAGTCTCCCTAGGCATAATGACCCCAAATGGGATGAGCCAGTCTTTTGCTGAATGGCGAAGAGAGGTGAATTGAGGGAGTGAAGAGATAGCCTGGCCTCACTGCATGGCATTGACAGGAAGGGGACTCACCCCGGGCAGGGTGAGGAAGACACCAGACCTTATATACACACAACGGAACACTACTCAGCCATAAAAAAGAATGAAAATTTGACATTTGCAGCAACATGGATGGACTTGGAGGGCATTACGCTAAGTGAAATAAGTCAGACAGAGAAAGACAAGTAACTGTAGGATATCCCTTATATGTGGAATCTAAAAAATATAACAAACTAGTAAATATAATAACAAAGAAGCAGACTCACAGATATAGAGAGCAAACTAGTGGTTACCAGTGGGGAGAGAGAAATGGGGAGGGGAAAAGTAGAGGTAGGGGGTTAAGAGGTACAAACTATTAGGTATAAGACAAGCTACAAGGATATATCGCACAACATGGGGAATACAGTCAATATTTTATAACTATAAATGAAGTATAACCTTTAAAAATTGTGAATCACTCTATCGTACACCTGTAAGTTATATGACATTGTACAGCAGCTATACTTCAGTAACACAAAAAAGAAGACACCAGACCTCCTTCTAGAGCCCCTTTTCCTTGTATCCCCGGCAACCCTACTCATGCTTGTTTACCCACAAGAACCAGGTTGGAAGGTATTGCACTCACCTGAATAGGATTCAGTCTTGGACCCCAGGGCGACGGTGATGAGGACAAGGAGGAGGGGGAGGGATGTGGCTGCCATGGAGACCCTCATCCTCCTGTGAAGGGAGTGGCTGCGGGAGGAGAGCTGGCCTGGTAGGGGCTTCGGAGGCTCCTGGGCTGAGGAAGTTTTGAGAAATGTTCATTGAGGCAAAGTATATTTTTTTAGATAGGGGAACTAAGATTTCAAAGTAGACTTCTCAGCAATTTCATATCCTGCACATTTGTTGAGGGTGGAGTGAAGGAAGCACAGAGAGCCGAGTTTCAGGGAGAAAATTGACCTCCATCCCCAGTGGGAATACGTTTAACCCTTTGATATAAGCTCTTCCTTAGTCGTAGGGCGACCATGAGCACAGTGGTAGAGGAGACTGTCTCAGATTCAGTGAAAGATCTCAAAGGCTGGGATGTATCCTGTACCCAATTCTGGTTCCTGGCCTCAGAACAAGGCCGTATGGGGGCTGGAGATTGGAGGGGATTTGGGGCAACAGGATGAGGTCTGTGGGAGCCCCCACATCAGGTCTAAGAAATCCTCACTTAAGCTCTTCAGCAGAACCTTTGTCTCTCTACCTCATCCCCAGCCTTTCACTGTCCCCTGGGGTGAAGAAGTGTCATGGTGCTCAGCAGATAATTTATTTAACAAGCATTACACTTTAAGGGTTGCTATACGTAATAGCTGCTGTCCCAAACGCTTCATGAATATTAGCCCTTTTAACAGTAGTTGAGGAAACTGAGGCACAAAAAGCATCCATTACTCCCCCGAGATTTGACAGTTGATAAGTGGAATCGGGCTTCAAACTCAGGCAGTCTGGCTCCCAAGTCTGTGTCCTTAATCACTCTGCCGTGGAGAAGAAACGCAGGAGCCCCCAATGAGCTGTCTCTAAAACTGTACTGCCTGGCTTGGCTTCTCTAGAAAACCCTTATTCTGAGATCTTTCTGAGTTCAGAGAGTGGATCCCTTTGGGACCTTCTCCCAGTTTCTGACTTTCATTACAGAAAAGCTTGATGGGAACCTAGAAAATGCTTCATTCAGGGATGGCTAGCAGGTTTCACTGATTAGCGGTGGACTGGCGCTCAGTGTTGGAAATGGTGCTGAGGCCGTGTCCGTGCATTTCTGTGAAGGTGCAGCTTGCGTCATCCTTAGATTTGTCTAAACAGGCTATTTACTGAGGAGGAACTGTAGCTCAGGAAGGGCCAGAGACTTGCTCATGTTCACGAAATGATTTGGATGCAGGACAGACCCACCTCTTCACGCTCTCCGTCCAGTGGCCTTGACCGTGCTCTTCCTGGGGGAACTTGCCCTATTCTTCTTGCTGTTGTGGTTAGAAGGCTGTTTCCATCTTCTCTCCTCCACTCGTCAGGGCAGGGCAGGCCTAGCAGATAGCAAGTGATCTGTAAGTATATGTTTTAGAAGAAGGATGAATTGAGCTGGTCTAAGTATGTATATCTCACAGGAAACAGCTGAATTCTCATGCTTAGGTGCCAAGACAGTAATTTATTCAAAATGTTCTGTATTTGTTATCAATAATAACACTATTTAAACTCCTCAAGTCAAGTGATAACAATTGTCGTTAGGAACAGTCTAAGGAAACAAGATGTTTCTGGGAAGAATATGAGTTGGGAAGAAATAATGATTACTTTGTTTTTGTGGAGACTAGCCTACTTGCCAAGTTGTTGCTAGGATCTCTACAGGAAAGTCCTTTATTTTTCAAGCAGTTATTGAATTCCTACCCACATTAGTCTGGTTACGCTCATTGCTATAATGAACAGCCCCTAAATCTCAGGGGATTCATTACATGAAGGTTTATTTCTGGCTCATGTCACAGTCCAGTGTGGGCCAGCAGTGGGATGAGTGTGAATGTGTTGGAGAAGGCTGTTTCATGCACCCATTCAGGGACCAAGTCTTCTTCTATCTTGTAATGCCGCCATTTTCCACAAGAGGCCTCCAAGTTTACTACAAAAGGGGAGAAGCAGAGAGGGATGGGCAGATTTTTATGGCCCAGTTCTGGAAATAGTATAAATTACTTTCACTTACACTCCATGGACAAAATGAAGTCACCTGGCTCCAACTTAATGACAAAGGTAAGGAAAATATAGATCATCTGTGTGCCCAGGGACAAGAGAGAATGGGTTTAGTGACCACATCACTTCTTTGCCATAATATCATGGGCTAGGCTTGGAGGTGACCCTGACCTCAGAGGACTCATAGCTTTTGAAGAGGGACTCAAAAAAGTAAATGAAAATTGCAAAACAGTGGGATGAATGGACTTCAGTGGCAACATAATCAGAGACCTTAAAGGTTTTCCTGCTGCCCACTGGTGAGTATGCAGTGCCTGTTTAAAAAATGTTAAAAATATCGGACTTCTCTGGTGGCACAGTGGTTAAGATTCTGCCTGCCAATGCAGGGGACACGGGTTCAAGCCCTGGTCCGTGAAGATCCCACGTGCCGTGGAGCAACTAAGCCCGTGCGCCACAGCTACTGAGCCTGTGCTGTAGAGCCCGTGAGCCACAACTACTGAGCCCACATGCCACAACTACTGAAGCCCGTGTGTCCAGAACCCGTGCTCCACAACAAGAGAAGCCACTGCAATGAGAAGCCCGCGCACTGCAATGAAGAGTAGCCTGTGCAGAGCAACGCAGACCCAATGCAGCCAAAAACAAATAAATAAAATTATTTTTAAAAATGTTAAAAATGTTTTTCAAAGCAATACATATGCACTGATTAAAAAAAATTGAATAATATAGAAAGGGTGGGTGGGACCCTTAATATGTTTACTTCTTTGCTTCATTGCCTGTGTGTGAGAAGTCTTCCAGCTCCACTGGCCTCAACCAAGTGGGTCATGCCCTCTGTCCAAGCACTGGCTCACACCAAGAGAAAAGGGAATGAGCTATATTACTTTTAAAATCTTTTTTTTCCTTTACTTTAAAAATCTTGTCTGTGGTTCTAAAAGTGAAATAGTAAAAATATGGATTTTTCTTTTTACAGCTTTAAAGCACATATTTTTCTAGCTATTTTGCCCTTCTAAGATTTTTACTTTTAAAAATTCAAAATTGGTTGTCAGACTTATTTAGCCATATTTAAACTTTTCCCAATTGTATATTTCTTTTATAATTAAGTAGCTTTGATATGCTTCATCATAAAAACAATCAAGAATTAACACAAGTCAAAAGCTGGCCCATTTTGTTGTTTGTCCTTGAAAAGACAATGAAGATTCTTTTTTTTTTTCAATTCTTTGAAATTAGTTTTTGGTTACTAAAGAAATATGTGCTTTATATAAAAGTTGCAAACAATGCTGAAGTTACAGAGTTGAGAGCGAGAGTTCCTCTTCAAATTTCCACTCCACCCTGCAGCATCAGCATTACCTGGGAACTTGGTGGAAATGCTGATTCTTTGCCCCATCTAGTCCTACTGAATCAGAATTTCTGTGTTTTTTTTGTTTGTTTGGTTGGGTTTTTTTTTTGCGGTGCGAGGGCCTCTCGCTGTTGTGGCCTCTCCCATTACGGAGCACGGGCTCCGGACGCGTAGGCTCAGCGGCCATGGCTCACGGGCCTAGCCGCTCCGCGGCATGTGGGATCTTCCCGGACCGGGACACGAACCCATGTCCCCTGCATCGGCAGGTGGACTCTCAACTACTGCACCACCAGGGAAACCCAACTTCTCACTTCTTGCTCTGTGCATCCATTCTTCTCCCAAGTTCTTTGGTCATCTTTACAGTCACTACCCCGAACTCTTTCTTGGGTAGATTGCCTATCTCCACTTCACTTAGTTCTTCTTCTGAGGTTTAATCTTGTTGCTTTGTCTGGTGCATCTTCCTCAGTCACCTCATTTTGCCTAAGTTGCTGTTTGTATTTTTATGTATCTGGTACATGAATTATATTTCTTAACCTTGGAGAAGTGGCCTTCCGCAGGAGACGTCCTGTGCATCCCAGCCGTACATGCCCCTCTCATCATCCAAGCTGTGTGCTCTAGGGGTTCCCCCTATGGGGGCTGTGTGGTTCCTTCTGTTGTGGCGGGGCTATGTGGGTGTCTGATAGGCTTAGTTGGCCCTGGTCTCTTTGTTTGCCAGGTTCTGCCTTGTATGGAGCTGTTGGCTGCTGGTTAGTAGGGCCTGGTCACAAGGCTGCTGACTGCAGAACTCCAGGGAGCCCCAGGGCTAGTGCTGGCTCACTGGTGGGCAGAGTCAGGATCTAGAAGACTCCAGGGTGTTATCTGCCTACTGGTGGGCGAAGCCAGGTTTTGGGGTTAGTGCCAGACTACTGGCAGGCAGAGCCGGATCCTGGAGTCTGGTTGCAGGGCTCAGGGGTCCCAGAGCTGGTGTCAGATCACTGGTGGTGGGGGTGAGCAGTTCCTGATAAATTGGCTATGATGATGTCCGGGTTGTTCCAAAGCTTGTGTTGGCCTGCTAGTAGGCAAGATTGAGGCCCAGCTGGTCCCAAGGTAGGATCTGGCCTGCTGGTGGGCAGGCTGGTTTTGTAGGCTGTGGGATTGTGGTTTCCTTGCATGTGGTGTCTGCCCCCTGGTGGGTGAGGCTTGTCCAGAGGCTAAAGCAGGCTTCCTGTAGGGCAGAGCTGGGGCCCTGAGGATTCTGGGGCTGGTGCCTGCCCCCCGGTAAGTGGAGCTGGGTTCTGGAACTCTGGTGGGTGAGGCCATGTCCAGAGGTGGCTGTAGGCTCAGGGGGTCTTAAGGCAGCCTGTCTGCTGATGGTGAGGCTGTGTTCCCACCCAGTGACTTGCTTGGCCTGAGGTGTCCCAGCAGTGGTGCCTACAAGCTGTTGGGCCAGAGCAGGGCTGGATCCTGGAGCAATAAGCTAGAGGGAAGATTCCACAGTGGTGCCCCCCAGCGCCAGTGTCCACGTGGTAGAAGGAGCTCCCAAGGCTAGCTGCTGCCAGTGTCTGTGTCCCCAGGGTGAGCTGCAGTTGCCTCCTGCCTCTCTGGGAGACTCCCCAAGATCAGCAGGTAGGTCTGACCCAGTCTCCTATCAAATGTTTACTTTTGCTCTGGGTCCCAAGGCCTGTGAGATTTTGTGTGTGCCCTTAAAGAGTAAAGTCTCTATTTCCCCCAGTTCCCTGGGACTGCCAAAATTAAGCCCTGCTGGCCTTCAAAGCCAAATGCTCTGGGGGCTTGTCTTCCTGGTTCAGGACCCCTGGGCTGGGGAGCCTGATGTGGGGCTCAGACCTCTCACTCTTGTGGGAGAACCTCTGCAATGGAGTTATTCTCCAGTCTGTGGGTCACCTACCAGGGAGTATGGGACTTGACTACATCATAAGTCTGCCCCCCTACACGTCTTATTGTGGTTCCTTCTCTATGTCTTGTAACTTGTAGCTTTTTACCAAGCACAGATGCAAGGGAGTTTTGTCTAGTAGAAAAGATAATCCCCAAAGTTACAGATTTATTGCCCTATAGCAGCGGTCCCCAACCTTTCTGGCACCAGGGACCGGTTTTGTGGAAGACAGTTTTTCCACAGATGGGGTTCAGGGGAGATGGTTCAGGTGGCAACGCGAGCACTGGGGAGCGGCAGAAGCTTCGCTCTCTCGCTCACCCGCCACTTGCCTCCTGCTGTGCAGCCAGGTTCCTAACAGGCTGCGGACTGGTACCGGTCCACGGCCCAGGAGTTGGGGACCCCTGCCCTATAGGATATTAATTTGTTTTTCTCTAACAACATTTCAGAATGCCATCCCCAATAACTATATAAACCTCTGTTCCTCAGATGATCTTTGAATCAGTTTAATTGTTCCTTCATTAATGGGTTAAATACATCTTTGACACATATTCAATCTATACTTGAATGTCATGTTTTTAGCTTTTAAAAAACTCTACTATGATGTCTTGTTTTGACAAAAACGCAAATCCAAAGTTCAGCGATTCCGACAGATTCTTTTTCCTCTTAAAGTTAAAGTTAAATTGGATACTCTTTATTAATGCACTGCTTTTGTAACCAGAACAGAACAGTACTTGTTGCTTTTTAAAAAATAATTCAGGCCAGGGCCCACCTAGGAGGTAGTCTGGGCCAGAGAGATGGAGGTGAGGGGGCCTACTCCAAGTATCTCTTCTCAAGAGATAGTGTTCTCAGGTCCTTGGTCACTGATCTTAGCTTCAGGTCCAATATGCATTTCTGAACATTCTCATCTTTGGGGTTAGCACAGACATGCTGCTCCCTTTTGGTGATGAAGCTGGGGAGCAAAGGGGGGAAAGATTACAAACAGAGGAGGGTTGAGCAAATGGGAATGGGGAGGCCCATCCTCCCTGCCCCTCAGATTCCCCACTCGGCCCAGCCTGTTCTTTCCTTTCTCTGCTGCAGGAGCTCAGAGTGGCCCCTCTCTGAGACCCTCCCTCAGGCTCCGAGACTCCCTTAGTGACTCATGGAGTTTCCTTGGGCAGCGTCCCTCCTGCTGTCTCCTTCCTTCCCTAGCTTCCCTCTTCTCTGGGAACATCTCATAACTGATGGATCCTAATGAGGACATAAGCCACAGCTGACCTGGCAGGATCCAGAGGGTGGGACTTTTCTGGACATCCATCCATCAGGTGCCTCCCCCCACACCCCCAGACATGGCCAGTGGGCTCGGCACTTACACGACAGCAGGCCGGGAACACGCACTGGTCGTTTCTACATAATATTTCATGAATACACATCGGATTTTTAGTCGGGTGTAAAAGATGCAGCAGTCAGTGGGATGGTGAATGCTTACTGCAAGAGAAAGGGTCACTTAAGGACTGAGTCTGAGGAAAACTAGATCCTTTCCCCCTTTCCTCCTGAGTACTGGGAAGGGTAAGAAGGTGCAAGACTCGAAAGAGATGTTTTCCTTCTCTGCCAGCACTTGCTGGTGTCTCCTTGCTTCACTCTCCCCAGGGTTGAGCTGTGTGTCGGAGGGCATCCAGGCGGGGCCGCAACAGAGCAGGACCATTCCTCCCAGAAGAGGAAGGGTCTGAGGCCTGCAGGGGGCCCTCCCCCCTCCCCCAGATGAGCCAGCTCTTGGGACAGCCAGGTGGAATAGAAGTCATCTATGGAAGAGGCCACCTATAGACCCATGGCCCATCCTGAAATTCCTTGGAGATGTTCACCGCCCATAGGACCCTCCTCTCCCCCCAGGGCCTGTAAACGAGGTAGACTGAAGCCATTGAGCAGATATATATATACCGTAACAAAACTTTACCTCCTTGAGATATTGAGTGTTCATTCTTCAGGTTCCGCATCAGGTGTTCTATTTGAGAGAAACAGTAGAGAAGGGAAGAAAAATTACTGGGAAGCAGTTGTTTCAACATCTCCATCTATCTCATTCCTCAACCCCATCCCCTGGTAGGGAGGCAAGGATGCTGGACCACTGGACCAGACCTGCCTCCAGGCCCATTTTCTCTATCAAGGCCCTGAGACTGTTCAGGGAACTTTTGAGGAAGTTTGAGACATGAAAACATTCTATTGACTTGAATACAAAAAGCAAATTGCAAATCCAACACAAATAAATCAGTTGATTAGCTACATAATGTGATACAGTCCACAATGCTTTCTACACATTTTTGGAATTCACAGGACTCTGGAAGCAGACAAATTTTTCATTAAATGATTTGGTGGCACAATGTCACCCAAAGTGAAGTGAGGCTATCTACAGGCTTTATTTACTCCTTTAACATAGGAGTAAATGTGTTTGCTGCAGAAATATTACTGTGTTTGGTTAATGTGTCTCTCAGACTCTGTCAGGGATGTTAAGTAATGTCCAGGTATGTGTTACCTTTTAAAATATATATATTTTTAGAATGTGATAAAATGTACATAATATAAAGTATACAATTTTAATCATCTCTAAGTGTACAGTTCAGTAACATTAAGTACAGTCACATATTGTGCAACTCATCACAATCCATCCATGGAACTTTTTTCTTGCAAAACTGAAACTCTGTACCCGTTAAACAATAACTCCCCATTTCCCCCTACCCCATCCCCTGGGCCACCGCCGTTCTACTTTCTGTCTCTGAATTTAACTACTTGAAGTACCACATGTGAGTGGAATTATACTATTTGTCCTTTTGTGACTGGCTTGTCTCACTTATCATTATGTCTTCAATATTCATCCATGTTGTAGCATGTATCAGAATTTCCTTATTTTTTCAGGCGGAATAATATTCCATTGTATGCATATACCCTGTTTTTCAATCCATTTGTTTGTCAGTGGACACTTGGGTTGCTTCCCCCTTTTGGAGATTAAAATTCATGCTGCTGTTAGCATGGTTGTACAGGTATCTCTTCATGTATCTGCTTTCAATTTTTTGGGGTATATCAAGAAAAGGAATTGCTGGGTCATATCTTATTATCTTTTTAAAACCTGAAAAATTCTGCATTCCAAAATACATCTATCCCCAGAAATTTTGATAAGGGGTTGTAGACCTGTACTATGCTAATTAGGCAAACACAACTAAACTTTTAGTTCATTTCTTATATAGTTACATATGAATTATATTAAATGAGGCATGTGCACGCACTTCAACACGCTTGATATGATGTGTGTGGGGCTTGCAAAATAAAGTCTTAAATGACATGTCTTTCCATAACAGCTTGCTAACTAGCTTGTATCCTAATGCCACCACTTATGGCTGTGTGATCTTGAGCAAATTACCTACGGTTTCTATGCCTCAGCTTTCTCATTTGTAAAATAATAATAATAATAAGCAAAACCATATAATTTGCTGATAGTCTACCCCACAGCATTGTTAGGAGGATCCAATGTATTAATATCTGTAAGACACTTAGAACAGTGCCTGCTTTCACACAGAAAGTACTAGATATTTATTTGTTAAATAAATAAATAAATGTGGTTAAGTAGACTTGGGTGAGTCACTCGCCCGGCTTGTCCAATTTCCTCCCTGATAGTTTTACACCAGAGGGTATATAATAACTCTAACATCATAGAATTCTATACCTCTTTCTACAGATTTACAATTTTACTACAATTCTCTTGATCTAGCTCATAATAGTCCTATATCAGCTAAGAGAAAGTGTCATATAATTCTGGCCATGAAAGGGAGAGAATTGTTTCCCCAGGTTGGACCAGTCACCTGTATACAGTTTTCCTCAGGGACCGAAGGCTGCAGGGAGAGGTCTATACCTACTGCTGCTGCTTTTAACTAAGTATCACATCCCTATTGGGACAAAGGTGTCCCCCTGCATCTCCTCCCTGGACTGAGAGTCACCATCAGCCTGCCCACCTGTGAGAAGGCTCACTGAACTCACCAACTGCAGCCTGGGCAGCAAGGATGAGGCAGGAGAGGGCAGCTATTGAGGTCTTCATCTTCCCCGTGCACAGCCAGTACCAGCCTGAGGACTCCTGGGCTCTCTGCTCTCTGACTCCCCCAGACCCCAGCTCTGCCCTTGTATTTATAAGAAGAGGGGGACCAGGAAGTCACGAGGCAGAGGTCAGAATGCTGTTCTTTGGCTGAATAACAGACAACACACTATTTCTATAAAAGGGAATGAGGCTGGGAAGGTAACAGGAAGTAGAGGGCAAGGATGACTTGAGGCTTTCCCAACTGCCCAATGGATACAGGCAAAGGGAGGGACTAGTTTATGAAGGATACTTCCTCTAGGAGGTTCACTGAATACTTTAACCAGAAGTTTTTCCTCAGGAGTTAACCCCATTCAAGGGCATGAGCAGCCTGTCATCAGGGGTGACCAGAGAGGATGCTCTAACGTGTGAACCCGGTCATGTTATCCCTCTCTTTGTTTCACCCCCACATCCAATCCATTAATAAATACTTTTGGGTCTACTTTCAAAAATGTGTCCAGAATCTTATTATTTTTCACCACATCTACCCTCTCCATCTTGTCCAAGCCAACCTTATCTCTCACCAGGATTCTTACAAAAACCTCCTATTTTGTCTCCTTCCTCTGCCCTTGCCCTGTTTCACTTCATTCTCAACATTGCAGCCAGAGCGATCCTGTTAAAATATAAATCAGATCAAGTCAATCCTGTTTAAACCCCGCCCATGGTTTTTAATCTCCGCAGTGTAAAGCCCAATCCTTCTAAGAGCCTACAAGCCCCTATGTGCTCTGGTCCCCGTTTTCTCTCTGTTTTCAGACCCTATTACTTCTCCTCACTCATTCTGCTTCAGTTGTACAGGCTGGTTCAGAGACCTTTGTTCCCTCTGCCTTCGTTACTCTTCCCTTAAATTACTGTATTACTTTCTCCCTAACTTCCTTCAGCTCCTTACTCAAATGTTATTTTTCTGGTTAGTCTTTCTGGGACACTCTATCTAAAATTATAATCTCCCTCTGCCCAAATTTCTTGTCTTAATTTTTTCTCCTGTGCACTTAACACTATCTAATATACTATATACTTTACTTGTAAATCTTTTAATATCTGTCTCTTTTTCTAGAACATAAACTCCATGAAAGCAGGGATTTTTGTATCTTTGTTCCTAGTTTAGATTCCCCTGAAAGCAGAGCATGAGAACTATGGGGTGAAGCTCGATAATTTGGGAAGTATTCCTAGGAGCAGGAATGAGAGCCTGGACCAGTTGGTGGGGATTAGCGTTTGATTCTGCTGGGACTTTTTGAAGTGCCTTATGAATGCATTGCAGAATATTTTGCCTGGAGGAGGAAAGGAGAAACATTTATCTCCTGGCTTTCATTCCTGTGGCATTTTAAAATACGGCCACAAATTCGTTGACATGCTTTTCTCATCAAACAGTGGGGTCTCTGTTTTCTCGCCTTGAAGCAGAGAGGGCTTGTGACTGGTTCCGTCAGTGGAGCATGCCATGTGACCTCTGAAGCTAGGGTGTGAAAAACCATGGGGCTTGAACCTTGATCACTGGAGACACTTACTCGTGGAGCCCTGAGCCACCATTTAAGAAGAGTGACTAGCTTGAGGCTGCCATGCTGTGAGGAAGCCCAAACTACGTGCAGGTGTTCTGGTTGACAGTCCCAAATGAGCATAGCCTTCAAGGCGTCCCAGCCTAAGTGCCAGACATGGGAGTGAGGAAGCCTGTAGATCTGCACTGCCCAATATAGCAACTACTAGCCACATGTAGCTACTGAGCACTTTAAATGGGGCTAATCTAAATTGAGATATTCTGAAAGTATAAACTATACACTGGGTTGCAAAGACTTAGTACCCCCCCAAAATGTAAAAGCATCTCAATAATTTTTTATATCAATTACATGTGGAAATGATAAGGTTTGGGATATATTGGATTAAAGAAAATACATTATGAAAATTATTTCATCTGTTTTACTTTTTTTTTTTTTTTTTTTTAAGCCATGCCACGTAGCTTGTGGGATCTTAATACCCAAACCAGGGATTGAACCTGGGCCAAGGCAGTGAAAGTGCCGAGTCCTAACCACTGGACCGCCAGGGAATTCCCCTGTTTTACTTTTTTAATACGGCTACTAAAAAATTTAAAATTCCATATGTGACTTGCATTGTATTTTGATTGGCCAACACTGCTCTAGATGGTTGCCCATCCCTTTGAGTCATTTCCTGCTAATTGTGTCTTCCCAAGCATGCCCCAGGCATCATCAGCAGGGATGAGCCATCTGGGCTGTGCCCCGTATGAACTTCCAACCCATAGCATTTGTGAGTAGAATACAATCGTGGTCATTTTATACCACTAAGCTTTGGGTGGTTTGTTACACAGCAATAGATGGTGGGGACAACCCTTCACTGGCCAGTGGTGGATCACAGATATTAAATTCCTCACACTTCTGGTTTGCTAATGCATGTGTGTTATATTCTATCATGATTTCCACAGCTCAGGATCAGAGAAAGCCCCAGGGCAGGAAGCTATAGAGTTATGAGGCAAGAGACCTGCATGAAGCTTGTGTAAATCTAAGAAAAGTGATGACTGAGCAGTGGCTGAGTTAAAGGGTGAGTTTGCAAGGATGTGAAGTAATACACAATACGGTCCACCCTTTGCTTCCCTCCAATGTGTTTGTGCCTTTATTATGTCTAATCCATCACAAAGCCTCCTTCAAGGTGGTTGTATTAGTTCTTCCAGGTTCAAAAGAACCCATACTGTGTACTCGTGCTAGTACATCTCTACTACCCACCCCTGCCTTCTCCCCAGGAATCCAGCAGAGCCTAATGTTGCAGGGATGGGAACCACAAGTAGATGACTGGGAATTATGGAGAGGGGCCAACCCCTTGGTTCCTGAGTGTTTCAGCCACTGGCGACGTAGCGTCATCTGACAACCTTTGATTCAGTGCATATACTGAACGCTGGGAAGGTCCCAGCCCTGAAGTTTGTTGTTGCCTCAGCTAAATTATTAACAGCCCACCATTCTCTTGATCTGGGTGATTAAGTATATGCTAATACCAGTGGATCCCATGTACCCGCTGACTCACACCATTTGCTATAAAATGGATCCCCTGACTTGAGCCATCTTGTACAAACACCATACTGAGTGATCAGACATTCTGTAAGTCCTTGGACCATTGGCAGAGGTACTGCTGGTAGGGAAAAAAACCCCACATCTGGAGTACGTGTCAGTCCTGCAAAGGTCGGATTGTTCTCCCTTGCAGGGTGGCAGAGGTCCAAGATAATCAACAGGTCACCATATGGCTGTATTTTCTCCTTGGAGCTGGGCGCCATATTGAGACTTGACATCTACTTCTGCTGCTGGAAGGTTAGGCATTCAGCAGTGGCAATAGTTAAATGGGCCTTGATGAGAGAGAGCTCACACTGTTGGGCCCACGCATAGCCGCCATCCTTGCCACCATAGCCAAGGGCTTGTTGCACTAGCGCTGTCGTGACTGAGGGAAGAGGCTGGCTGGCTTCCATGGGACAAGTCATTCTGTCCACTCGCTGACTTTCTCCTTTGTTGCGGATGTTACCCAGTGACTTCCAAGTCCCTGTAGTCATGAGTCCTTGTCCAGTACCTCCAAGTTGCACGTGCCTGAGTACCGAACAGATTCCTTCCGGTCCTCTATGTCAGCATCAGAGAGTCCCTGATACAGGAAAAGAGGGGTATGCATGATGGCAAGGTGAGGTGCTGTCAGATTAAACCTATGTGGAGCTGGACAAGGCCTGTGCAGGACTGGTTGCTGTAGTGGTGGCCAGAGTAAGAGATGGCACTGACGGACTAGAAGTGGTGTGTACAGAGGTGTCCGACATAGTACCGAACGAATGTTGGTTCAGCAAAAGAAACAGTGAAGGCGCGAATGTCCGATTTCACAGTATACTGCTGTTTCTTGACCTCTCTGGTATAGAAAACACTTTGTGAGTGGTTTTCGTGTACTTCCTGAGTCTCTTATTGATTGTCCTCTCCTCCACCACCAAGCATCGTTGGTGACGTTGAAGAATCACATCAGCTCTGTTTGCTACTTAGCTTGGCAGACCCGAGGGAGCGGGCTGTGCATCTCCACATCAGGCGCTCCTCCCTCAGCGGTCTTCCAGAGCTGATGATAACAGCAGCCAGTGCTTCTTGAACACCTACTGCACTCCAGGAACTGTGCTTGGGGCAGTTCCTCTGAGACGAGGTGTTTGCTACGTGAAGCACTCACTCTAATTATTTCACAATACTGCTTAGGATACCTGCTAGCTTCTTCCCTTAGAGATACCAGATATCTTGTCATCTCTGCCTGTAAACACTGCTCTTGCCACATTCCAGTATCCGGGCTTGCACAACACGTTTATCTAGCATAAGCTGAGCTGCCCTATCCTATTACAAAGTTAGCATGTTTGAGCTAAGATGTCCCCTCGCTGGGGTAGCTCATCTTTTTTCTCAGACCTGCACTTAGTCTACGGGAATTTTCTGCTGTTACTTTCAACTTTCCCCTCCCTCCTTTCTCATCACTCCATGTGTTATGTGTCTGCGTGCTGGGCAGGTCTTGAAATCTGGATGGTGTTCCATGCACAGGTCCCTTTTCAGGAGAGAGGCCTGAAGTTGTGGTTCTTCCCTGCATTGGTTGCTGTTCCTTGAGTTTCCAAGTGAAACCATCCCAGGTGTCTGGCCTCATCTGATGGATGTGTGGTGAGTAAGGAAGGTCCCTTGAGTTCAGGTTGTTGTCCCAAGCAAAGGTGAGGTAGTGATCTAGTTCTCTCTCAGGCCAGGTGCGCATCCCACTGGGAAAGGCATTCTGGGGTATGTGATCTTTCAACCCCTTCAGGGCCACAGAAGAGAGGCCTTGGGGCTGGAACACTTCCTTCCCAAGAGATAAAGCGCTGCACAGCTGTGCTGGGTTTATTGCCTCATGTGGGATTATCTTTCTGTGTTCTGGACTCAACGCGTGCACCTTTGTTTTGCCTAAGCTTGTACGACATAGGGCACCTGGCCAACCCTCCCACCACCTGTTCCCAGTGGGGAGGGAATGGGACCCTTCACTTGTAGCCCAAGAGGGGTTGCAGATCATTCTCCTAAGTTGGCTGCAAGATGGTACCCACTGCCTGTGGGGAGGAACGACAC